TACGCACAGGAGGTGATTCGAAGATTCATCCCTTCTCCTACCAGTATCCATGTTCTGAAATCTGTGTCACTGTCTGCAATGAAGCCCTGAGGAGAGGGAGACTTGGCTGCAATGCCCATTAATGTCCCAGGGTGGGAAACTGTCCCGGAGAGTGGAGCTTTGGTGTGGTCTCAAACGGAGGTCCAGGAAGGGCATGCTCCTTCAAGCTGGGTCTTCTGCGCTACATGACTTGCAAGGCACACCATTTGCTCTCATTTTTGCAGCTAGCTAATTGGCTAGACCACACACACGCACACATGCACCTCCACAGAACCAACATCAATGCTCAGTCTGAAACATAATGAGGAAGGGAATATTTTCCTAATACTGACTCAGCCTTTTTAAGAAGCTTTGTTCTCCTCAGCAAGTCACAAGATTATACAGAAGTGTTTGCTTCCTTTCATTCCTTCCCCAGCCTCCTTCCTAATTGCGCCCTTTTAGACTCCCAGGAACAAGGAAAAAGCCAAATGTAGGATCACACACCTGTGATTGTTCTCTTCCAGGAAGGAGGTAAGGTCAGAACCTCCACTGTCCCATTTACCCTCTGTAAAAAGAGTCTGAGTTTAGGAAAGAGACGCTGGAGAATAACACCTGGCCTGTATGAGTCATCGAGTAAAATCCTGCTGCAGCTCAACATGTAGAAAAACAAGCAGCTACCTTCCTATGGACGTATCCATCTATATTCTCCAGACTTTCCAACATAAGCCAAGACTGTTTAATGAGCAAAAACATGAATAACACTTTTAATAAATGGACAAATATTCTTCCCACCCACATATATCTTTTTGCCAATGAAAACCAATTTAGGGGCTACTTGAAGTTCTAGACTAATACATAATTTTTTCCTTTTATCCATATGACTTAAAATTGTGTTTCTCATGTATATCATGTGGGATCAACCGGAGAGGCTATAAAAATTACTGCCACTGGACCACTCTACTCAGGAGGTCTGAGATGAGTTCATCATCCCTGGTTAAGCTGAAGGAGGTGTTTTGTCCAGTCATAGGAAACTGCAGGTGCTCTCAGCAGACAAGGGGAGCTGGTAGAACTACAAACATTATGTTCATTCCTAAACAGTTGGTTCATCTGCCCTCCAAGTGCCATACATTCAACAGAAAAAATAAACAAGAGCTATTCTAAGAAGTAACCATATAATTAGGAGGTTATAACTACACAGTGGAAAGAAACACAATGAGAGAGAACAATGGACTTTGTAGATTAATAAGCAATACAATGCTAAGCTTTGTGCAGTTACAGACTTATAAAACAAGTACATAAGACTGGCTCAAAAAAATATCCTGATTTCTGCAGCTGAAGAAAACCACTGGGTTTCAAATCAAATCTGAGATCTTGCTTATACTACTCACAGGAGCATAACCATTCAGCAGGCTATATATGATGTGACTGTTCTGATATTTTTTCTTTTCACTCTATTTACAATTCTCAGAAAGAACTTTAAAAATTAATAAACTGTAAATATTACATGGGTATATATGTCTACTATTCATTTATCAAGTAAAATTTTCTTGAGGACAAAGATACAAAGATTGTTGAAAGGAGGTCATATGGTCATGCTGCCTATAATGTAATGGAGAAGATGAAGGAAAATAAATCAAGGTTAGGTGTCCAAATAGAGACTAGGTGTATGGTTCAGGTGAAATATTCAAGAGGAAGTCACATTGGGGTGGCCAGAGGAGTCTCAGCCTAAACTGAGTCTTGCAGATGTTTGTCAAGGAGTGAGCAAGGGGAAAGGACAGAGAGAAGCACTAAAGGAACACAGAGGTGTGGATTCTCATGTCAAGAAATTCAGATTGCTAGGACATGGGACATAAAGGGACACTGGCTGGAAGCTAACCTGGAGGCAGAGATGGGGCCAGTTCATGTTTGAAATTTAGATTTTATCCTGAAGGCACTATGCATCCATTTGAGGATTTTTAGCAGACATGTTGAAATATAAATTGTTTAAAAAGAAGATCTGAGGAGGCTTGGAGAATGGATTGGCAGGAACACAGAGAGAAGGTCCTTCTGGAAGGGAAGATGGAGGTGGGGGTCTGGAGAATGGATTGGCAGGAACACAGAGAGAAGGTCCTTCTGGAAGGGAAGATGGAGGTGGAGGTGAAGGGTGGACAGTGCCAGTGACCAGCTAGATGACAGGGGAAAGGCAGGCGGATGAGTCTGAGATAACGCATAGCTGAGGCTGTGGGGGAACCAGTGAACAAGCTGGGACACACAGCAGAAGAGCAAGTACAGCTCCTGCGCTCTCTCTGGAACATACTGGGTTCAAGTTTCCTGAGTCATAGGAATTAAGATATTTGGAAGATTACATATAAGGGTCTGAACTCAGGTAGATGTGTAAAAGAAGTGATGGTTTCAAGCAAAGATAAGATTTAAAATATTAACGACTGGCATGGACAGTCAGGCATAGACACTGACTAATCAGAGCAGAGGCCTGATGGACCAGAAAGGATCCCAGCAACAAACAACTAGCATGACCATATGTGCACATGCCAAAGCTACCTTGGTACTGACAGTCACCAGAATGGATGAGAGCCCTCAGAGAGACAAGAAGGGAACAGGCCACAGGACAGAGCACCTACAATGGAGGTTAATGCAAAGGAAAAGAACCTGCAGAAGGAAGATGAGAAGGAACTGACCAAGAGGTTTTGATTTCTGATTTCATATTTCTGCATACTTTAATCGAGCTGGAACACAGGGGGCCGGTCAGCTTCAGACGGGGAGGAGGAGTAGAATGGACTACTGAAGAGATGTCAGTACCCATTCCCAGGCCACACGGTTTGTGCTGGAGGTGTCTACTGGGACCTGGGCAAGTTGAAGAGCAGTACTCAGGAGTACCAGCAAGAATGAAGTCGGAAATTTTGGGGAGGATGACTCCAGCACAAGTTAGGGCCTAGGGGGAATAGTCTTCCCAGAAGTGGCCTTCCACCAATGATGGTGTCTCCAGCCACGCTTAAGCTGGACAGGGATTCACAAGTGGGAGACACTGAAATGGAACCAACCCTCACTGAGGGCATTTCCCACTGTCTGTCGCACCAAACCTCACTGGGCTGCTGCCCCACCTGCCCATCTTCCTTCTCCCCAGATAAAACAGACAACTATCCCACTCGCCTGCCTGGGCTCAGTGCAAGGCTCTCTGAGTTCCTGAGTTTATCTCAAGCCCAGACTTCTCTTCGGTAACCGAGGATTAAAAGCAGGTTCCCACACCTGCCCTAAGTGCATCAAAGACAATGAGAACATTCTGCAGGTTCTCTGAGATTTTGAAAAGGAAGCAGAAGGAGAGTCTGAGGGAGAATGCAGAATAGCCTGAATAAAAAAAAAGGAATATAATATTGCAGAATTATTTTAGAGAGGACAAGATTAAATCTTTGATAAAACAGGTGAAATTTTAGTGTTCGAGTGCAACTGTAAAGAATGCTTATTAAATACTTGAAAAACAAATGAAAGAAGGCTTGGGTTTCCTGAAAGAAGGCCAGACTGTAAAGTTCTTAGAGCTAAAATGTGCTGTTATTTGAGATGCCACAAAAAAGTGAGGTTAAAATATGATTTCTAATTTCAACCTTTTAGGGAAAAATCATGCTTTGATTCACTTGTAAACCAAGTCCCATGCACCCACTAACCCCGCACCCACTACAGATCTTGGCAGGGGAACCTGTCCGTCCACGTGTCCAGGCTATCACGCCCCTCTAGGGCCCTGCTTCCACCGGCCTCCGCCTGGCCTTCCATGTGGCGATGAGTGAGGGCAGCTACAACAACCTTGGGCAACCCGAAGCAGCTACGTGCAGCAGCCTGGCACTGCCCAGAGCATGCTCAGTTGGGTCCTGACCCACTTCTACGGGTCTGAACTTGGGGCAGGGGGTCTGCGGTGCTATTTTGTCTCGTTTGTCAAAGATCGAGAGAAGAAAGAGAGGAACTGGGAGCTGCTAAAGGCCTCCATTCTGGGTAACAGCAGTCCCCAACCGGCGGCGGAACAGGACCAATCTGGCTACAAGAGCCGCAACCGTCAGTGTGTGGAATCTACCTCCCCGGGTTTTGGCAGCAACCGTAGAAGAGGGCGGTACTGAACCAAAAGGACCGCTGGGGGCGTGGCCAAAGGGCGGGCCTAAAAAAGCCAGGAAAGACTAGCTGGGTCCTGGCCCCTGAAATTGACAGCCGCGGGCAAATCTAATTAAAAAAAAAAAAAAAAAAAAGGAGGTGGGGGATACGCTTACAGTGCAAGATCTTGCTGCCAGACATATGTAGGGGTTTTAGACTAACCTATCTTTTTTATTTAAAAAGTTTCATTTTGTAATTAGAACAAAGCTTAGGAACTATAATTAAAAAGAAAAGAAAATTTAGAATCCCTGGAACCACACCACTCAGAAGCCACCAGTGAACGTGCTGCGTATTTTCGTCCAGCATCTTATGTGTAGGATTTAGAACTGACAGGTCTGTTAAACTTTTGATCACAAGGTGGCTTGACAGCCAGGTTTGACAGGTGACCCCGGAAACAGGGTAGGTTCAGGGGTTATGTGGTTGGTTCTCTTCTGTCCCAAGATGGGACTCTAAGAAACCTATTCCTGGGTGTCCCTGAACAACTGTACGACAGGACACTCAGAAAACTTGCGGTGGAAGCTTTGGTTGCGAATGCCTCTCAATAATCAGTCACGCTGCCTAGGCGCTACCACATCAGAAATCAGTGTCCTCTGCTCTGGTACTAACTTTGGAGTGCTGCAGCGGAGCCCGAGGGACCACCAAGTCCCGCCCAAGAGGCTACGTGGACTGAACGGGGGACTCCTAGGCACACTGAACCCGCCTCCTCCTTTGCGGGTGGATCCGAGGCTCCCACAGGTTTCTGCAACACCGCCTTTCCCCAGTGGCTGCTGCGAAAACCCGGCGGAGACACCCCGGCCGGTTCTGCGCCTCCGCACCGCCGGGCGAGCCGCACTGGGCATGCTCAGCACCAACCAGCTTGGGCTCCAGTGGGTGGGAAGCGCCGCACTCCCGGCTGCCCGCCCGCCCGCAGCGCAGCCGGCTCCGCTGCAGGGGCTGGCGGAGGCGGTTCGTCCGCAGTAGGTGCTGCCAGCCGTCAGAGACAGAGCGCGGCGCGGCGGCAGCACTGAGGCTGGCCATGGCGAGGAGCGCACGGCAGTCACCTGAGTGGCGCGGCAGCGTCAGGTTAGCTGGGGCACCCGGCGAGCCGGGGCCGCGGGGTACGGGTAGCTGAGAGCACCGCACCGGGTGGGCGGTCGAGTCTTGGCTGTGGCTCTCTCCGCGGAACTTTATCTCGCGCTTAAGCTGGCGGAGCCCAGGATGCAGCCTGCGCGCTTGGGAGGAGACGAGATCCCGGCAGCAGGCTCCTGGGGTCGCAGGATGTTTCAGGATCAGTGCGGGGCGGGACCCGTGGGGGCGAATGGACTGGGGGGACAGCAGCCTCTCAGGCTCATACCACAAGCCTCCTATGGCTTGGAACGTGGTGTCTACCGCGCGCTACCGAGGAGCCTCGAAGGTCTACCGGGGGAAGGGGCGCAAAGGCGCGACGGGGGCTTTCGCCTGACTCCAGGTTGCTCGGGTCACTGTGCCTCGGTTTCCCCGAAACAGAAGGTAGGGTTTACTATCCTGTTCCGGAAGGCCCTGAGTTCGGGTTCCGGTCCGTACCCGCGAGAGCGTGTCGTTTTGATGCTGCAGGAGTGCGGGAAGTGGTGAGTGCCTCGAGCCGCCGCCTCGCGACTGGAGCACTTCAGAGTTTGTCGCATTTGACTCGATAGCAAGTTCACATTGAATTGCTCCATGGCTTGGAAAGGGAAACGTGCATCCTAGGCTTAAAAAACAAAGTAATTGCAGAGCTGATTTATTTTACGCGCGACTATTAACCTGCCTTCTCCTCCAAAAAACTGGAGCATGCAAGTTGCAAGATTTATAAAGCAAATTAGCAAAAAAAAAGGTCTGCAGGTCTATTATCTGCTCACACTGTAGAAAATAATATACTATGGTTGTGCTGCCATTGTTTTTAAAGATACTTGTTAGAGAAAAGTTTGGTTACTGTAGCAATATTTATTTTGTGTTATTTTGCCTTTATATTAAGAAGTTGGAAAGCCTACCATTGCAGAAGCTCAATGTTTTTTGTAAAGTTTTCTCACTTTTGTTTCTAGATGAAACACATTTTTTTCAGTTGCTACTATACTGAACATAGTAAAATTATTCAAGATGAAATGCAAGATGAAAGGAGATTTATTTTCAGAAGAGTTTGTTAGAACAATGTAGTTCTACTGGCATTTTACTTTTACAAAAGCAATTTGTAGATTCCACTGCGATTTCTACTCTTGATTTCTCCTAAAACATTTAGTACCATTACCATTCTTAGGATTATTGGACCTAATAAGAACAAGGTTAACAATCCTTGTTTTAGTAGGAACTATTTCTGCTTCTAACTAAAGCTGTATTCTCAACCATATTTCCATAAGTATCACTTAATGGGTTCAGTTGTTTTTGCTTATTAAGCTTATTACAAAACTTTTTGTTTGCATTCTTGATAGACCTTAATAGACTTTCGAGGTGCATTGACTTTTCATTGGGTTGTGACTAGGTTTTAATGTTTGCTCTTGCCTGCTATGGCTGCGGTTGTAATTCCAGCTGCCCTGGATAGTTTTTCCAAGTGGACTCTATGCTGTGCCTATATGGAACCAAGATCTTATAAAAGGAAAGGCTTGAAATGTCCAGACAATAGCAACAAATGATTTCTATTTCTACAAGTTAGGCCTGTCATCTTCCATTTTAGCCAAATAATTTGATGTTCATTGTTCCAAAACACATTTCTGAATACATTTATAGAATAATTTAGACATTTGAAAAGTCCAATACAAATATGCAGAAATTTTGCTTCCCTTTTCCGTAAAAATGCATCAGGTTAAAATCTACCATGAAGCAATGCGTATGTACACAGTGTATCCTGTACAGCAGGTCTAGTGTCCTCAGGCTGCATTCCCAAGTGGAAGTTTGTACTGTCTCCCTTCACCCTTGGGTTTTTCCTGACTTAGGGAAAGCAACTAAACCTTAGTTTTCCCTTTGTGAATGTGAGGTTTAATACAGATCAGTAGGCCCCTTTTGAGTCTGAAAATCATTATTAGTTAGGAAAGACAGTGAAACAGTGAAGTTTTAGCAAAAGACGTATTTAAATACCACTCTTGGCTTCAAGGATGCCACATTCTCCTTACCTAAAACTAACAAAACCAATAGGGTTTAAGATTGAAGTGGGGTTTTATTATTGCTAATGAAGAAAAAATAGCAAAATAGACTTTGTATTCAAACTAGGAAACAGGTAATTTCTTCTCTTTTGTACTTAACTGTCAGGTTTTACAGCTTAACTGCCAAGCACATATTTTTTTTTCTTTCGATGTGTTTAGGTTTCTATACCATATGGTATTATTGGTGACATTAGATATTCATAGCAAACTGTTGCCTTTAAAAACAGATCTTCCCCCATTCATGTGACCTTAATCTGTTTAACTCCTTGTTTGGCTTGCAATTGAAATATTTGAGACTATGTAAACTTTGCTTCATTGGGCTTTCTGTTCTATTTTTCTAATGTAAGAACTTCTGGAATAAATATTGTTGCAAAGTTGTTTTTAACCTCCAACACAGTACAGTCTGACTTGTTAGATGAGTATCATTTTTTTAGAATTCATAAAGCATGTAGATAGTATCTGCACTAACTCAGCATCTAACCAAGCCCTTGAGGGTGTGGCCTGCCCTTTTCTGGCCAAACCCAGGAGAACACTTAAAACTTTGACAACATGTTGTGATCCATGGCAAATTATGTCAAAGTTAAAAATGGTCTTAGATGCAAATGATTGGTTTTAAGTATTCTCTAGTACCTCCCTGGAATGGGTAAAGGATTAAAGGGTTTGGTTGATTATGTGATAATAACCAGGTAAGCGCTGTCAGATCTAGCTTCTAAATTGTACTCAAAACAGAAGTCCTGTGAATTTACTAATCTGGCCTCTGCCTCCACCTGAGGTCTTTCCTCATTAAAATAGCACCTGCATTTTCCTTCCCCACAATCTTTTATAGTTAGGCCCCTGAGGCTACAGAAATGAATAAGACACAGTGACTCACAGCCCAGTCAGAGAGACGGGCTTGAGGAAAGATCAGCTACAGTGCAGAGTAAGTGCTGCAGGGAGGTGGCTATGCGTGGAACTGGGGAGGGTTAGGGATGAGCCCCTTGGGTTAGAGGAGGAGGGGCCTCATGAAAATGGTGACATATCTACAGGACTTGGAGGAATGCCTAAGGATTTGGTTAGGAGAAGTGGACTTCTAAGCAGAGACATAGACTTTCCAGGCAGAAGGAACACCATTATGGTAGCAGAATGACAGCCCTTCCTCCCCCAAAGATCTCACTTTGGGACTTTGCAGATGTGATTCAGTGGAGGATCTTGAGATGGAGAGATTTTTCAGGATTTTCTAGTGGGCCCAGTATAATCACAAGAGTTCTTACAAGCGAAAGAGGGAGGCAGAGCCAGCATCAGAGTGATGGTGTGTGAGAAAGACTTGACCAGCCATTGCTGGCTTTGAAGGTGGAAGGGGTCCAGGAACCAAGGAATGAGGGCAGCTTCTAGAAGCTCGCACAGGCAAGGAACTGGATGGTCCCCTAGAGCTTCCGAAAGGACCACAGCCCTGCCAACTCCTTGATTAACTCACTATGACCCATGTTGAACCGCTAACCCACAGACATGAAAGAAATAAATGTGTGTTGAGTCACTAAGGCTGTGACTTACGTGCCATAGAAAAGAGCCATAGAAAGCTACCACAGCCATATACAGAGAAGGGTTTGGTGTGACGGAATAATGGGCAGGGGCCAGAGAAGGGCAATGAAGTGGTACTTTCATGGTGAGAAACTCACGTCATGTAAAGGAGTTTGGATTTTATCAGGAAAACAATGGGAAACCAGCAAAGGATTTTTAAACAGGAAGGTGCAATGACCAGTCTGCTGCCAGATTCATCTTCCCAAAAAAGCAGTGTATAGCTAAATCTCAAGTTCACAGGGCATTTTGACAAAGCGTATCTAACCAGAGGTAGTCAGTGATGGATAGAGATCTGGAACCAGCATCTTATATGATTTGGTTTTCTGAAATGCTCCGAAATGACATTTGTAGGCATGTGTGAAATTAATAGCTTAAGAAAACTTTTGTTCACAATCCCTAATAGAAAAGCAACATAGAAAGTAAAGCAGAAAGGCCAAGTTGAATTTGACTGCTTTGTTTCTGCCCATTGTCCTCTTAGCACACAGCTGCTCTGTGGCTGCATACCATGTGGTCATGAGCCAAGAGCTGCAAAAGCTCAAATTTAACACAGTTAACTTGAGCATGTTGTTGTATCATCTGGACCAACTCTGACCGGTTGGTAGAAGCTGCTTGCAGTGCTTTGGGCTTCTACAGGCTCAGCTGAGCAACTGCCGGGATCAATTAGCAACATTTGCCATGGGCTCCATGTTTGCTGGGGGATGGGTAGCAGCTGTAATATTAGATGTTACAATGCAGGAGTTGACCTAACTTCTGCATGAAGTATACGGAATTTAGTCATTCTTTCAAACATATTTTATTCAGTCTCTTTATGTTCAAGGGCTCCATATCTGTCCTCTAAAAACTTACAGCCCAGTCGAATTGACATCTCTGTGTCCGGAAACCCTAAGCTGAAGAAATCTTCTTAGTGTTACAGGAGAAGCTCTGAATTGATACTGAACTGTATGTTAGAAAAAGTGAGGAAGAGAAAAACAAAGTTTTCAGACAGCAAGAAAGCCCTACGCTGGCAAAATCTGATACTGGAAAGAACAGTAAGAGTTGATTAATATTTATACTAATGAAAACAAAACCGTATATCTATATTGTGTAGCTTCTAGTTGCATAACTTTTTGAGATTTTTACCCAAACTTCCCTATACAATGATGCAATAATAATTGTTTTCCACTCCAAAGGAAGAGCTCAGTGTGAGCTGTTCCTCTTTTTTTAATCTCTTTTGCCTTGATCTCTGGGGCATGTACCCTAGATGTTTTTTCCTTTTTTAAATTTTTTTTTAAATTTATTGCTCTTTCTCTGAGTGTTTGTCTTTCAATTTACTGGGCTCTGACCTTTGTCTTCTCATCTTGTGGCCCACTGTGTTCTTTCCAGGTAATTTAACTTCCT